ATTTCGGACTTTATTTTATCTTCACGGTGAAAATGGCTACCGAATGCTATTATTGTGTGAAAATTCTCGATTTTATTTTTTACATTTTTAACTTTATAATGCTATGACATATTGAAAAGTGTATGGATCAACATTATTTTTTTATGAGAAATAATATTTTTTAATAATCCCTTTTTCATTCTACATACTTTATCTTAATTAGGATATTAATAATGAACTAGCAGATCATGTAGCTTTTGGAATAGTCCACCAATTTTTTAAAATTAAACAGTATCTAAAGATTTGCATCGAAGCGTTTTTTTTTTATAGTGATTTTAATCACTGTCAAATATCATTATACTTGATCCATCTATACCACGTCACCACTGTGCCGCGACCCCCCTGTGATGGGTTTTTTTTTATATTATACATTTAAAAAATTTTATTAATTTATACTGTTTCTGATGTAATACTTTTCCTGCAAAACACTTATAGTGTCCGGCATCGATGGGTACTCTATCCGTCATATGTGACCTATCCGTAAAAATGGTTTGAGTGTGGAACATAGTATAACATGCCACTTCTATGATAAGAATTAATCACTTATGACTAATATCATTTAAAACATATCTAAAGTATTAATTAAAAGAAATATATATATGTCTTAATAAGCCAAAAAAAAAAACTAAAAATAGCGTATTTTGGGAACAATATTATCATCAGCTTAAAATATATGTAACCCAACAAAAAACACTATCATATATACCCTCAGTGACGTCATCAACTTATTGATCGTGACAATATATTATGGCGTTTATTATAAATTTAAAAATTAAATTTTAAGTGGACCTAGATACTAATTAATTTAATTATTTTTAATTATAAAAACTTCTATCGCCTACCTTTATTAAATACTTTTAATTATTTGTAATTAATGTTCATCCACAGGAAATTTATTAACTTCTTGATTTATAATTTTTTTTAATGTTCGTTAAGCCTGATCTCTTTGTTTGTTTTTGTTTAGCCTGCATAACATTTATAACAACTTTCACATTGTGTTTTATAAATTCCCAATAATGGCCCTGCCTCTATTTTATCTTTAAGGTCAATCAATAAAATTTTAATTTAAAACTTTTCGAAGTTATTAGACTGATTCAAAAATTTTAAATAATCTAAGTCATAATATATAGATGACCTAATTACATTTTGTTTATCTACGCTAATAAGTATACAATCTATCCTCCTTTCATCATTCCATTTCTGTGTACCAACTAATTTTAAAACTATGTTTTTATAAACATCTCTTAAATGTAGCTACTTTTTTTTATAAAAATATAGTTTTTCGAAATATATTTTACCCTACTTTTAGCTTCGATGCGAAGCTGAGAAGGTATTAGTTTTACTAACATGAGTTTTTATATTATTATTGAATATTGTTATTAATGACAGTAAAAAATATATAATTGAATAACTTGTATTTATTTGACCATTCAATGCATATTGAATTAATCATTATAAATAATATTAACAGTAGTTTATTATTAATTTTATAAATAAAAATTTTATATATATATACAAATAATGAAAAAAAATTAACTTTCCCAACTATTTAACTAAATATACATCATAATACAAATTGATAATACAGATTCAGAGCCTAGGGAAACCATGACAACCCTAATGACAGCAATTTTAATACCTAAAAGAAAATTATGTACAAATAAAAAATTTTAAATATGGAATTTTGTAGATTATTTACTATGCCCTTCCCATTATAAAATTCTGGCTACGCCACTGCTCCGTTGCGTATAGGCTTATAAGTACGAAATACCAGTAGTAAACTATTTTCAAGCATTATATTATATCATTTGAGATATTAATTATTATTATTAGCTTCGATGCGAAGCTGAGAAGGTATTGCTTTTACTATAATGTGTTTTTTTTTTTTGTGACTGTTACCACTTTTTCTCATCTCACCGAACTGATTTCATTCAACGATACGTCAAAAGATCACAAATCGTATCTAGTTGAAGACAATACTCTCAAAAATTCCACTCGTTCCCCGTAAATGGAGGACACTTCCAAAAAAATTACAAATTTAAAAATCGCTAATTTTCGAAATTTTTTCAATTTTTTTTACTTAAAAGTGCCATAACTTTTTCAAAAATAAACATATCAATATAATTCTTTTTTATATAGATGCATAATATCATTACCTTTCATTTGGTATATTTTTTTCATAAATTTAACCCTTAACCTGCCCACAAGGGGGGATTTAAAATGACAACTTTTTCACAAAAAATTAATTTTTTTAACTTAAATTTTGAAAATGTTCCGGAAGGTCTGACACTTTTATATATATCTTAAATTAAAGCTAATGTAATATGCTTTATCATGAAAAAAAAAAATTTCGGACTTTATCTTATCTTCATGGTGAAAATGGCTACCGAATGCTATTTTTGTGTGAAAATTTTCGATTTTGTATTTTCCATTTTTAACTTTATTATGCTATAACTTTTTGAAAAATGTATGAATCATTACAATTTTTTTATGAGAAGTAGTATTTATATAGATCTTTCATTCGACATACTGTTTTTTTAAATCGGACCATTTCCCTAAATACAGGGGGGATTCAAAACATAAAAATGCATATAGAAAGTAGAACTTTTTCAACGTAACTTTTGAAAGTGTTCCGGAAGGTCTGACACTTTTATATATATCTTAAATTAAAGCTAATGTAATATACTTTATAATGGTAAAAAAAAATTTCGGACTTTATTTTATCTTCATGGTGAAAACAGACATTAAACTTAATAAAAAAAATACGATTTTTGTAAAAAAATTCTTTTTTATATTTTTAACTTTATAATGCTATAACTTCTCGAAAGATGTATGGATCAATATAATTCTTTTTTTTGTAGATGCATGATGTCTTTACCTATCATTTGGTATATTTTTTTTATAAATCTGACTTTTTACCTGCCTACAGGGGGGGATTCAAAATGACAACTTTTTCACAAAAAATTGACTTTTTCAACTTAAATTTTGAAAGTGTTCCGGAAAGTCTGACACTTTTATATATATCTTAAATTAAAGCTAATGTAATATACTTTATCATGGAAAAAAAAAATTTCGGACTTTATTTTATCTTCAAGGTGAAAATGGCTACCAAATGCTATTATTGTGTGAAAATTCTCAATTTTATTTTTTACATTTTTAACATTATAATGCTATAACTTATTGAAAAGTGTATTGATCAATATAATTTTTTTATGGGAAATACTATTTTCTAATAATCTCTTTTTTATTCGACATACTTTGTCTTAATCAGGATATTAATAAGGAACTAGCAGTTTATGAAGCTTTTGGAATAATCCACCAATTTTTTAAAATTAAACACTATCTAAAGATTTGCATCGAAGCGTTTTTTTTTTATAGTGATTTTAATCACTGTCAGATATCATTATACTTGATCCAACTATGCCACGTCACCACTGTGCCGCGACCCCCCTGTGCTGGGTTTTTTTTGCTTAAAACTGTCATAACTTTTTTTAAAAACAACCATATCAATATAATTTTTTTTTATAGATACATAATGTCTTTATCTATCATTTGGTATATTTTTTTTATAAATCTGACCCTTTACCTGCCCACAGGAGAGGATTTTAAATGACAACTTTTTCACATAAAATTAACTTTTACACTTAACTTTTTAAAGTGTTCCAGAATGTCTGACACTTTTATATATATATCTTAAATTAAAGGTAATGTAATATACTTTATTATGAAAAAAAAAAAATTTCGGACTTTATTTTGTCTTCAATATGAAAATAGAGTTACTGAATGATATTTCTATGTGAAAATTCTCGATTTTATATTTTTAATATTGTAATACTATAACTTATTGAAAAGTGTGTGGATCAATACAATTTTTTTATTTGAAATAATATTTATATACCTTTTTTATTCGACATACTTTATCTTAATCAGGATATAAATAAGGAAATAGCAAATAATGTAGCTTTTGTAATAATCCAACAATTTTTTTTAAATTAAACACTATCTAAAGATTTGCATCGATGCGTTTTTATGATAGTGAATTTAATCACTGTCAGATATCATTATACTTGATCCAACTATGCCTCATCCCCACTGTGCTGGGTTTTTAAAATTACAATTATAAAATGTCAATTTCCTCTCTATTTCCATTTCATATGTGAATTTAACTAAGGAATAAAAATAATTAAATTTTTGTGTAAAGACCACAGTACTCAAATCATTATTTAGTATTGCGAATATATTACCAATATTTTAATCAATATTTTTGTAAAACCTCCATGTGTAATTTTTGTAATGAACCTACTCACGTTAACTTATTTATACTAAACCATCTATATTTATAACTGACTATTTTTGAATAAATTGAACACTACCTCTTACTAAGCATTTTATAAAAATTAAAACTAATAACTATTATGTATTTTCCATTGATAATTGTAACATTGACATCAATAAGAGATTTTTTAGTAATATTCGAATTAAATATTTTATTAGTTTATTAATTATATATATTTGATTAAGAATAATACTAACCACAAATGTACAATTTTTATTATACTATAAACCACTATTTGAACAACTGATATATACTCTGCTAAAATATAGCAGTGTATATATATATCAGATATTTTTTTAACTAATAATAATATTTAACTTAAGTATTTTTATTGTTTCATCAGAAAAAACTGCGTTTGTACAATTTTTGACTGAATATACCATCATTTATCAAAATTCCGGTAGATTCATTATCCAAAAACTAGAAGATGATTTAATAAAAGTGTGGAAATCTTAATGATAATATAAAGTGGTAACTGAAACCACAACTTAGGTCATAATTTTTAAGAAACTGATAAAATTAAAATTCTTATATATATATACTACTACTCCATTATTATAAATTTTTTAGTATAAAAGATAAAATTTTAAACACCATAAATAAATTAATTATTAATCTTGTCTAGCAAATGAAAAAACAAATTCGGATAATGAAAATATATGCCAATATGAAAATGATACTACGACATTAGCGGCTGTAAATGGTAACTTAGAATCATTAAATTTAGCTAACGACAGTAGATGTGATTGGGATAAACATACAATTGTTGAAGACGCAACAAATAAGCATTTAAAATATTTAAAGTATGCAAAAAAAAATGGAATTGATTGGGATGTAGATACAACAAGAATTGCTGCTGCTAATGGACAATTAGAATGCTTAATATATGCTCATGAAAATGGATGCCCCTGGAGTGATGGAACAATTTTAGCTGCTGTAATAAATGATAAATTAAATTGTTTAATATATGCACAAAAAAATGGATGTCCATGGGATAAAGGAACGACAATTGAAGCAGCTAATAAATGTAATTTAGATAGCTTAAAATATGCTCACGAAAATGGATGTGATTGGGATGAAGGCACAACTAGGGCTGCTGCAGCAAAAGGCTGTATTGATGGTTTAATATATGCCCACAAAAATGGTTGTGAATGGGATGAGTCCACGACTAGAGCTGCTGCAGCGAGCGGCTGTTTAGACTGCTTAATATATGCGCATGAAAATGGATGTCCATGGAATGAAAGCACTACAGAAGCAGCTGCAGAATATGGTAATTTAAAATGTTTAATATATGCTCACGAAAATGAATGTCCATGGAATGAAAATATAACAAAAGTTGCTGCAGCAAATGGAAATTTAGAATGTTTAAAATATGTTCATAAAAATGGCTGTAAATGGGATAAGGATACTACAAAGAAAGCTGCAGAAAATGGGCATTTAAAATGTTTAAAATATCTAAATGAAAATGGATGTCCGTGGGATGATAAAACAACAAGAGCTGCTGCTGACAGCGGACATTTAGAATGCTTAAAATATGCACACGAAAATGGTTGCCCATGGGATGAATATACACCAAGATTAGCTACTTATAAAAATTCTATAGAATGTTTAAAATATGCCCATCAAAATGGATGTCCATGGGATGAAAATACAACAAGAGTTGCTGCTGCAAATGGGCATTTAGATTGTTTAAAATATGCACATGAAAATGGTTGTCCATGGGATGAAACTACAACCATAGCGGCTGTATTTTTTGATAATATGGAATGCTTAATATATGCTAATGTAAATGGGTGTAAATGGGATAAGCAATCAATAAAAGATGCTGTTGAAATTGGCCATTTGGGATATTTAAAATATGCGCACGAGAATGGATGTGAATGGCATGAAGATACAACCAGAATTGCTGCTGAAAATGGGCATATAGATTGCTTAAAATATGCTTATGAAAACGGTTGTCCATGGCATACAAACACAGCAACAGATGCTGCACAAAATGGTAAATTAGATTGCTTAAAATATGCCCATGAAAATGGCGCTCCATGGGATGATAAAACAACAAGGGCTGCTGCTGAACATGGGCACTTCGAATGTTTAAAATATGCACATGAAAATGGATGCGAGTGGGATGAATATACGCCAAGGAGAGCTACATTTAAAAATTCTATGGAATGTTTAAAATATGCACACGAAAATGGATGTCCATGGGATGAAAATACAACAAGAGTAGCCGCTGCAAATGGGCATTTAGAATGTTTAGTATATGCACATGAAAATGGTTGTCCATGGGATGAATCTACGACATATGCAGCTTTATATTGGAATAATATAGAATGCTTATTATATGCTAATATAAATGGATGTAAATGGGATGCAGACTCAATAATGGTTGCTGCTGAAAGGGGGCATTTAGAATACTTAAAATATGCTCATGAAAGTGGCGCTCCATGGCATAATGAGACAACAGTAGTTGCTGCTACAAATGGTCATTTAGATTGTTTAAAATATGCACACGAGAACGGATGTCCATGGAATGAAGAAACAACAATGGCTGCTGCTAAAAATGGCAATTTTGATTGCTTAAAATATGCTCTTGAAAAAGGTTGTGAATGCGATAAAATAATAATGAAGGATGCTATTGAAAATAACAATTTGGAATATTTAAAATGTGGATACGAAAATGGATGTGGTTTTTATGAAGATACAACAACAATTGCTGCTCAAAACGGGTATTTAGAATGCTTAAAATATGCCCATGAAAATGGCGCTCCATGGGATGATAAAACAACAAGGGCTGCTGCTGAACATGGGCACTTCGAATGTTTAAAATATGCACATGAAAATGGATGCGAGTGGGATGAATATACGCCAAGGAGAGCTACATTTAAAAATTCTATGGAATGTTTAAAATATGCACACGAAAATGGATGTCCATGGGATGAAAATACAACAAGAGTAGCCGCTGCAAATGGGCATTTAGAATGTTTAGTATATGCACATGAAAATGGTTGTCCATGGGATGAATCTACGACATATGCAGCTTTATATTGGAATAATATAGAATGCTTATTATATGCTAATATAAATGGATGTAAATGGGATGCAGACTCAATAATGGTTGCTGCTGAAAGGGGGCATTTAGAATACTTAAAATATGCTCATAAAAGTGGCGCTCCATGGCATAATGAGACAACAGTAGTTGCTGCTACAAATGGTCATTTAGATTGTTTAAAATATGCACACGAGAACGGATGTCCATGGGATCAACGTACAACTAGAGGTGCTGCTGCAAGTGGCTTTTTAGACTGCTTAAGGTATGCTCATGAAAATGGATGTGATTTGGATGATGTTATAATAGTTATAACTGCTATGAATGGTAATCTAGATTGTTTAAAATATGCCCATGAACATGGTTGTAGTTGGGTTAAAGGTACGACGAGAATAGCTGCTGCAAATCGACATTCAGACTGCCTAAAATATGCTTGTAAAAATGGTTGTGAATGGGACGAAGGTACGACAAGGGAAGCAGCTGCAAGTGGTTGTATTAACTGTTTGATATTTGCACATGAAAATGGTTATAAATGGGATGTAGGGACAAAGAGTGGAGCTGCTGCAAATGGCTATTTTGACTGCTTAAAATATGCTCATGAAAATGGATGTGATTGGGACGAAAGCACAACTAAGCTTTGTGCTACCTATGGCCAATTTAATTGCTTAAAATACGCACATGAAAATAATTGTCCATGGAATAAATATACTATCGAAGAAGCCATTCAAAAGGGTTATACTAATATATTGAACTATGCTATAGAAAATGGCTGTCAAATGTAGGTTTCTGTAATTTTTATTATTTTAATAATAATAATAAGTATTTTTATTTTATATACGTACATATTTTTACTTGTGTATTCATATAAGTTAGCTACATTATATTTTAAATAAATTATCTTAACCTTAAATGGTTGGGTCATTTATTTATTTATTTTTTGTTATTTCATTTACATAATACGCACTTTTAAGACTTGCCTAAATGGTCTATATCACATTAATATATTTTTCTATTCATTTTTTAATTAACTTACAGATGACCTGTTCTCTTGACATTTACATGAAATAAAAGCGTTCTTAGCAATTTATTTTTTTATAAAAATGGGTCATTAATTTAAATTACAATTTTTTGTTAAATATAACTATATTTACATATATTAACTATATTAACTATATTTAAATACTTTACATGGATTAAAATACAAGTAAAACAAACTTCATAAAAAATAATGTATGTTGTTTTTCTTTTTGATTAGTGTATGATAGGTAACCAAGAGTGGACACACTATTTAATTTGACAAAGTCAAAATACTGAATCAAGAAGCTCATTTTGGTAAGCATATGTACAAAGAAGCAATAGAAATCGAGAAATGTCCAAAAAATTACAACAGAAAAGGTGAATGGACTATAAGCAATTTTTGGTTTCATATCATACACCAGGCAAAAAGAAAATAAATATTTTTAGTTTAAAATTATTATATGAAACAAAAAATTTTTTGACTTATTAATGATAAATAGTTAAATATATGCTTTAAAAATAGTTTATGAATGCAATAGTTATCAATATAGAATGCAATAATATAGTATTTATACGTACACTAGAGAAGTTTAATTAATATAGCTTCTAACAAAGTTTCATTAAAAAGAAAACAAAATTTATTTGAAAATATGTCAACATAAAGTTAGTCTGGTCAGGTTATTATAAAATTGTATATAATTTAAACTAAAAATAAAGTTATGGCAAAAAAAATACCAAAAATACCAAAATTTGTTACAAAATTTTGGCCGCAAAAAAAATTAATACCTTTTCAGCTTCGCATCGAAGCTAAAATTATAGTAAAATATAATATTAAATAGTTTAAAATAAAAAATAAGAATATTAAATCAAAAAATGTATTTTTAGACAATCGATAATGAAAACGACATTTGAAATGATCAAGCTATTCATTATGTAATTTATATTATTCATATATCTTCATATTTAATTTTCAACTAATTAGCTTTTAGAATAATTTTGAGCAAATAAAGAGTATAAAATAAAATTTATTTTAAGATAATAAAACAACTCTCAGCCTTATTCTGAAAAAATATGTAAATGTGCACTCACATAAAGACTAATTTTTGATAATTAAATGTGTTTGTTCTATTAACGTTTGTCATGTTAAATACACGAATCGCGTTCATTTACCTTAACATTTAACTTAAAACAAAATTTTTAATACCAGTGATAACACTATAAATCTGTTAAATAAAATAACGATTATTCATTAACACAGTACATTTAAATTTTTTTTTCCGTTATCACATCATTAATTATTAATCGTTAGCTGTCAAAGTTACTGACTTTTAGATATTCATTAATAACTTTTTAGCTACGAGCTTTTGCCAAAAGAACTAAATAATTATTATTGAGTGTTCATTTTTACTAAACTATGATAAACATTTGAAATTGAGAATTTTGAAATAAGTTCACCCGAGCATAAATCTTTACACTATTATAAAAATTAAATCTAATGGGCGATTGATGATTTTATAAACACGAACATTTTTCTGTCAATTTGAATGTTGTTTATGTTTAATAGTTATCGTTCACAAAAATATGACTAACACAAAATATTTATTCGGCGAAGTGAGAGATAATATAGACACAGGAACAAGGATGAAATTCAAATACGTAAACGCCCGGAAACCCTGTACTTACTATCATTCCTTTTTTATGCGTTTCAATTCAAAAAATCGAACCCGTTTCTTCATCTCCTTCTGCTTAAATATTTCAAATTGCTACACGCATTTTCATTCTGCAGAGATACATCTTAACGTACTACTTCAACCAACCGAGTAAAATCATCAGGTGCCTATACCCTATAGTATCTGGAAATATTATTATAAATATTAAAACTCCTTTGTAGTGTATGTTTCAGTCATTAATAACACAACACTCATTGTTGTCAACTATATACAGTCTAAAAAAAATAATAATAAAACATATCAAGATCAGTCGACTTAGTCTAGTCAAGTGGTAGCAAAAGTTTCGTGCATACATTTTTGCAAGAGCCTTCGCATTGGTGCAATGTAACTATTTCAATAGAGACAAACACTTTCTTTCATTATAAAAAACTCAAACAATGAAACATAAAATCGATTTAAATTGTACAATTCAACCAAAATATAATATTGTATTACAGCGTTAAAAAATCATAAGGAACTCTAAATGTCAGTACTCCTAACTTTACGATAACATCCGCAACGACCACAGAAGCGACCTCAGTTAAATATCCTTTAAATATTAAAAACAATTAAAATCATGCTGAACACGCTCTCATTTAGTTATAATATGACTGGTTGAATTGTAAACTCCATCTGTTCATTTTGTTTCAACTTTTCCATTATTTACTCCACAAATCTAAAAGCTTTTATTTTCTACAAACAATTATGTATAAATGTTTTTTTTTCACTATTTATTCGTACGTATTCAAAATCATAATAGTATAACTTAATTGACTTAAAACTTTGCTACTTCAACTCAAATGTAAGAAATATTTGTTGTAAAAATAAAAATTTGTTTGCCGTTCGCAAATCCAACAGATCACAAAGAACTTATCATTTATTTTACATTTTCTGCTGCTATGAACTTTGTTGTCTGTAATAGTTTTCGCAAAAAACTGTTTTTTTTTTATCTTAGGTTATATGCTGATTCATAAATATATTATTACGCATAATTATCTAGGGTATATTTAAGTTAAAAAATAAATTAGTGAGTATATGTCATATACCGCCCAAAATACCAGTGAATGTTTAACTAAAAAAAACTTGAGATTTAAGATCACGCGCATGATTCCTAAATCTATTTTGTATCAGCACAGTACATAGATCATTATTACAGGTGGTTTACTTTCAGATGGTAAAGAAATGTGAAATAAATAAATCATGAAGGCAGACGCCATGTATTATAGTACACAAAACGATAAACTAGTAATACACCACGGAGAATTCGGTGCGACGAGATTACTAATAACTTTGATAAGTATATCTATACATTTATAGTACAATGCAATACAACCACAAGCAAAAAGGAAAAAACGAAATAGAAAACAATTTTAATTGAAATTATGTAACGTTATAAACAAAAATGTATATAATAGCCATTTTTACTTGAACAACGTTAATTGTCGTACAATTTGTAATGTTATTTAAACTTTAATTACAGAAACAAATTATTTTTATTGTTATTTTATCACAAAAGAAGCAATTCTTTCATTACTCATATAATCAAATGTTAAAAGTACATTTATGAACAAACTAACACAAATGTGTGTAACCGTAAAGTTTTAAAAGCCATAACTTTAAAAAAACAGCTATCGTCTACAATTTTTACCGTTAAAAAACTTTCTGTGGGTGCCGTTCAAATATTTAGATTATTTCACTGAATCATTTAAGTGTATAAAGATATGATGTTTATGATGAAAAATTCAAAACTCAAAAAAAGAAACTTGATTTGATAAATTTATGTTATAAACAATTAAATGAATCAAGCACATATAAACGTATTTAGTAAGTGTGTTAATAAATACATTATCTATAAATATTACTATCAATGTAATATCAATTTTAATATAATTGGTATATTACACATAATATTATTTGTTAAAAACAACAAATTTCCTAATTGAACTGACCGCTAAATAATCAATTTATATTAAGAATTAATTTATTGGTTAAATTAGTCAAGTGTTTATTTGAACAGAAGAATGAGAATGAAAATTCCCAATCGGATTTACATAAGGCACCCTTTTAATAATAATCTCATGAATTGCGTTTTAGGAATCCCTGTGCGCAATCGCATCGATCCACCAGTGACCGATTTACCTACGACACCGCATAAGCTCGTTAACCTTACGAGTACTAGACTTTAAATCGAAACGCACATGTTTTTCCAAACCGAAATGCTCAAGCAGACAACAAAAGAAGAATCGTTTTACCAAAGTTCAATAACGTATCAGGAAAACCTAATAAGACGGGTAGGCTGGAAAATTCAGCAAAATAATAAAATCGAATAAGCCATAACAATAAAAAAAAAACGTTCAGCTGTGGGAACTCCTGCACCGCATAGCTATTTCTTCCATTCAAAAGTCTCGTCTGACCGAATAGCATGCTATTTCTAGATTATACATCAGGTATGGGATTTAAGGTCAAATTCCATTGATTTATACTCAAGCACATATTCTAATTTTTTTTAAAACAGCTTCATTGAATCATGTAAGTTCTCAAGAGTTACATAATAAACATTTCCCTTTTCGGTCAATAAACTACATACATCTCAGAACCTAGTTAGGTTGCCAAAAAAGAGTTTAATAAATTCTATAATAATAATTATATAATAATTCTATTGAGCTGTAATATTATAAATTTTTTACCAAGGATTCAAAAGATTAAAATTTTGAAAAAGTTCATTTTAGCTTCGATGCGAAGCTGAGAAGGTATTAATTTTACTATGATGTGTTTTTTTTTTTTTTTATGTCTGTTGCCACTTTTTCTCAGCTCTCACAGGACCGATTTCTTTTTATAAAATAAGTTAAAATATTAATAAAACTTTATTACATTATAATGATCACTTATTAAAATGTATTAAATATTGAACTTCAATTACATTAATTCAACAAAGTAAATATTCTATTCATAATAAAAAAAAATTAACAAACTTTGGTATAAAATAATAAGCAATTGAAACTATATTAGGTAAGAATTCTTCAACAAGTATTTACAAATTTTAATGACTCATATACTGTTTCAGTTTTTAACAACCAAAAGTCGTAAAAAACATTTAATTTTTATACTATACTGTAAAAATAATTTTTAAGACGCTTTTAGGGAAGGTTTATCGAGTTCGCTAAACTGTTACCGTCATAGAGTTGAAATAAAATACTATAAAAATTTATCGCCTTGCTTTTCTACTGAACAAAAAACGAATAAAATATTTAGCCAAGTATTATTTAATCAAAAATATAATTACGTCATATTATGATAATTTTTATTTTGCGTGACTTACATTTTCATTAGGCATAACTTAAATTAATTTTATGTTTAACATATACAGGGTTTAACATTTTTCTTATTTACTTTATCCAGTAAAAAAAAAATGCTTAAATGTAATATCTTTTCATTTTTTCCCTCTTTCATAATCTTAAATTTTATTATCATCACTTTTGAATAGCTTCCTATATATTTAATTTGCTAATGAAAAAAATTATTGAATAATTTCGATTAAGAAATAAACTTTTTAGATCTAGTAGTGGAAAGAAAATACTCAAATCAGTGAGGTCAGATAAAAATAATTTATACACTTTTTCTCGAAAGTAATTTTAAAACTAAATCTTTAAAAGTTATAATAATTTTTATCGATGAAATATTCGCTAAAGTTTTTTTAAAACAGTAAAAAACATATTTTTTTCCTTTAAAAAAAATTTATATATATATCTTG